ATTCAGACTCGCGTCGGAGATCACGCCTTCTATCTCCACATCTCGAGAAGGGATGTAGATGTTATACTCAACACTAAAAAGCTCGTGGTCAGCAATTTTATTTGCCACATCATAATTCAGTGCTTCTACACCCAGTTTGTTGAATCTTTCCTTATGTACCAAGATTCCCGGATACTTACGCAGCAAATCTCTCCTAATGTCGAGAGTTTTCAAAGGTTTATTTTTGGGCCGAAAAAAGACAATCCTTGGTCCTTTCGAAGACGCCATAAGCGTTGTGCAAAAGCGATGCGCAACCACTTAAAATGGAGAAAAAAATCCAGGAAAAAAAAACAATAAAAAAATAGTGAAATATTGTTGCCCGGTGTACAATCAAATCAACAATATACAAAAATAATAAAAATAAAAAAAACTCATAACTACTTGATCAAGGTTGTCTTACTGTACACGATTCTCCCTTATCGGTCGAATACGAAACGAGCACACGGTGACGTGTCAGACTCGAAGCAGAATTTTGCTATACAATAGCAAAGCAATCGAAAAAAAACGTTTAAATTATCCTTAAGTCAATAATCGCAACAGCTGATACAGGCGGTAGATGCTCCTTTGCTGCTGTTTGTGTGTGGCTGCAGATGGTGAGATCGATAATAATGACGATGATGGTGATGATGACCTTTCACCAGTTTAGAGGTGAACACACGAAATAAACGGGCTCGCCGAATTCTGGTGCTTCCGATACACGTGCGCTTATCACCTAGACACTCCACTGTGATAGCAAGCATGATTGACCGCCCACGGTTGCTGCTCTGTTATTACCACCAGATCAGCTGCAATAACACAGATAACCAACAGATGATGTTTGGGACTAACATTCATCCTCAATGATGTGGAGATCTAATATTTAGCAATACCAGCGCCGGCCGTATCCGAATGCAGGTCAACTAGGGAATGGGAAGGAATGTGTTGACGTGGTACTCGCTGTGAAGAAAACCGATAAATCCTCTGCGCTTCCACGAGAAATCACTGGGATGTTGGATGTGGGGAAAGGTTGCACACGCACACGCAGGGATCGTTTTTTTTGTAGAGCGATTTTAATACACAAACACACACACACACACACACACACACGCGCGCGCACTCCTCCAATTTCTATTTTTAGATCAGGGACCCACACTGTGGTAAGTGATGCGATCGGTGTTAAAGAAGAATTTGTTTTCATTAAAATCTAGTGGATATAGAATAAGTCAAAGTGAAAAATTGCAAGCAAGGGGACGGGCCTGGGATTGAACTCCCGACCTTCTGTTCAGTAAGCAGAAACGGTAATCACTGAGCTACCGACCCTCGTCCTTGGGCACTGCACTGTGATACGAAAAAAACCCCACGGGTGGAAAAAAAAATCACAATCAATACTGAATGTCTTGTGACGAGACCGGGACCGTGTTAACCGGCTCAGCGCTCGATACGGAATGAACTTCGATAGTTTGATGGTTTTGGAAATTTCAGCCACCTTCCCTTTTCCTGATGCGGTATAAAACTCCTGTCCCGGAAGCTGCTTGAAATCCGCCTTCACATGAACCATGACGACACAGTCAAACTTTGTGAGCAGATTCGTATATAGCTTTCGGGACCGCTGCTTGCCGACGTGTTTTGTTTGTAATCTCAGTTCGCCACCTTCACCTACCTAAACGTCAACAACCCGGCTCGTTTCTTGGCCCGCTGCACAGTAGTATGGGAGACATTGAGCTTGTCAGCGACGCACCGGATGGAGAGGTTAGGATTCCGCTTATATTTCACCGCCACCTTCTCCGTCGTTGCTGCTACGTCCGGATTATGATTGCCGCCGTTTCCAGGCTTCCTGCGGTCGACATACGCTCTCCGAACACTTTTGAAACGTTTGATACGGTCGATTTGGCCACATCCAGCCTTTTTGCCAACTTGGCGTGTGAGAACGTCGGATTCTCTTGCTGCGCGAGCAACATTTTGACACGCTGCTCCTCTTGCTTTAACGTCATTTTGAAAACAGGAGAGCAAACGGTGAAAACTCATCATAGCAACCATTGTATATACATTCAACTTTCAAATGCAGTACATGTATCAGTTTTTTATGCATTTTTAACAGAAATACACCAATTTGAAGTTGACCAATTTTTGTGCGTTCCAAACTTTAATACGAAGTCCTCAAATTCCAAAAGGTTTATGGTGGTTGAACGGCCTTTAAAAAGCCGTGTTGGGCACTGTTTATTCTTTGTTTTATTAGGCCAAACACGTTTTTATGTATAATTGATTCGAAGAGTTTTGGAATTCACGATCAAACCCACGATAATTTCGAAAATCGGATTTTTAACCAGACTTATAAACGGGTATTAAGTAGGATTTTTTTCCATTCCTTCGGGAATATACCGGATTCAAGTAACATATTAAACAGCCAGAATGGGGGTTGTGTGTGCAGTTGCTAAGTTTTTCATAAAAATAGGAGGGATTCCATCTGGTCCTGAACCTAAACATCATAATAAACTGCCATCGTTGGGTCCCAAGAGCATAAAGCGCAGTTAATAACTAATAGCTGAATTGTTTAAACCATGAGTTTCAGAAAGGGTGTGTGCATGATCTAGTTTGGAAGGCATTGTTTACTGCTTTCAGAGACGTCGCTTCATTTGAATAACGTTTTGTTAAGTCGGTTGTGGTAATGTACGGGACACGGTGGCTATAGAGTCAAGCCTCATTACATTACTGAGTTGATCTTTCATCCAGGTCACTATTGTAGAAAATTGTTAATAACAGAGTTTGGAGGAACGATTCAGAAAAGTAATAAGTATATTTTGGTCATATTGGTACGCCTGATCCGGTTCGGAAGACATTGATAACTACTTTGGAGGATTTAATTTCATTGTAATAGCTTCTTGTAACCGATAATGTACGATCGTCAGTCGTAGCTTGTTGTGATGTAAGGGATACGGTGGCCTGAGAGCGACCGCTTTTGCTTACTGAGCAGAAGATCGTGACTTAGAACGTCATTTGCTTAACAGGCTTTAAAAGATCGCATCACTTCCCAATGAGAATCCAGATCTAACTTACTCTTCCAACTAACAAAAACGTCCTTCGCGTGAGAACCATGGAGATGCAGAGGTATACTCGGTCTCCAGTAGCAACGGTTATTGAAATAACACTCCTTTCCCTCCCGATGACCGCTATTGACCTCAAAAATAAGGATTTTCCGGATTGTATACACTTAGAATGGATTGCTAGTCCCAAGTCCCATTCATATGGTTCTTTGTGCAAATTTCGCTAAATCTGGTCAATCACGGAGTAGCAACTTCTTAAATGTATGGTCGTCAATGTTCATGCTCAGAAAATCTCGGCGGCGCCGACTGGGATTGAACCCTTTGGGGTGAGAGGCAATCACGCTTACCACTACACCACCGCTGAAATAATATAATACAAGTTGATTGGAGTTTAATAGCTTGATGCATTAAATAAGTAGTAAATTTTCGGTTGAATGTTGGGGGCTCGTGAGCATTCCTGAGATTGCGGGGTTGCTAGTGTAACAGGATGCTTGGTTGATTATTTAGGATCTCTTGATCGGTGGGAATGCTTGTGAATAGCTGAAAAAAAGGGTAAACAAGGAGGTTAACGCCTTAGCTTTTTCGCATTTATATCGCTGCGAAGCAACTGATAATTGTTGAGGGGATTTACAACTGTAACTGTATCCAGTTCATTTTGTTGGCAAATCTAGTTAAGATGTCATACTTAATTATCTTAAAGATAAATCGTCCAGCTCAAACCTTTGTAGGGGTAAGAGGTGGGGCCATCATCATCATCATCATCATCTTCATATGAATTTGACCTGGATCCAGATCAAAACCAAAACAAGCAGGCATCCAGGACAGAAGTCTTTCACATTGGCCCTTTGCACCACTGAATGTGCCTAGGATACTTAAGTAACTAAGTAAGTAATACACACTAAAATTCTCTAAACACCTATAATTTAACTTTTTTTTTTCTTAGTTCGTATCATAAACTTTTTCAAACCCACTCTTCAACTCTTACCAAGACAATCAGAAAGCGACGTCCTTCGGTTCCATTCCAGCATATCTTTCAGCTTTCTATCATTTTTATGGCAAAACCAGACCGGGTCCGGTCATCTAGTTCCCATCCCATTATGCACTGCCGCTGCAGCATCAACAACAACGGTGAATTTGATTTGAGTCTGCACACTCGTTTCACGCCAACCATAGCCTATGCATGTGGGAGAGGTCAAAAGTTGAGCCTATCGTGCGCGCGCGCGTCTCTGTGGAATGTTTTCGAAATGAATTTTCAATTCGATTTAGTTTTTCCTTTTGCCTTCTTATTCCTATTAAGAGGAAAAATATGCTCATCTTCCCTTACCCGTTTTCTGGTCCTCGCTTCGCAGTTATTGCCAAAGCCAGCATAGACGTTTTTACTGTGTAACACACACGCGATTATAATAACCGTATATAATGTGGTTCTTTACTCGCAAATATACCATGGCTTTTAGGAGGAAACTCTGCTCGGTAGGGTGGTTGGCTTAGGACTAAACCGGCTGTTCAACGATTCTCATTTGGAGCCACCCTATCCACTCTGGTCAAACATGGGCGTCAAAGACTGCGATAGTACGTGTGCGTTTCCAACTCGCTACACCTGGCCAGTAAGCCACCCACCCATCCGTTCCGTTTTCTGATATTATTTGCAACTATGCTCACTCAACGATGACGACGGACGGTGGACGCTGAGGACGAGGACGATGGGAATAGCCTTTGATCTGGGCACGGAGAAAGATATAAATAATATCGTAAAAGCCTTCTCTCGCCTGCCTTGCATTGAACCCGTTCACTCCGAATTGAACCGAGATGGACGGACAGTGTGTCGGAACCGAGAAATCGTAACAAATCCGGGGTATGTGTGTGTGTGTGTGTGTGTGTGTGTGTGTGTGTGTGAGTGCATGTGGAAACTTATGGGAAATTGATCTCCGAGGGCGCGCTCCAATGGCTTATGCGAGGAGAACCTGCACCCATCAGCAGCAGCAGCAGCAGCGAGTGCATTGCATATATGCCTATGCACAATTTACAGGCACGTTGCACAAGAAGATGATGGGCATGGGCATGGGAAGTCGTACGTCGTACATATATGAAAGGAATCAATGTTAAAAGGTTGTTCTACATTTATAATTTAAATGTAACGTTTACAACAAATTGCTCGGTAACGAAAAGTGAGAACATGGAAAGGGAGGGAAAACACATGCTCCCCGGACATCCCATCCAGCCGTAGCAGGTAGTAGGTGTACGGAATGAAGTGCACTACACCGAGATTGTGTGCTGCAGATTGGATGTGGTCATTCATGAATCGTGAAGACAGCGCACGTCGGGCTCGGGTTGGTCTGTTTTGAGGAATATTCGAGCAGATTGGACGCGGGAATGGCGTGGGAATTCGAACCGGAAAATATTGCACTATTAAAAATGAACGAGCTTGCTCAAGTTCAACGTGTTTCTTTTCGGAATGAATGATAAGGAAGTATCTTACCAGCGTGGATTCTAGTTGAACTGCTGTACAAATGAGAAGGATAATTTAATTATCTTCACTACATCGTCGATAGACAGTAACCCCAGAAGCTAATCAACCAAATCAGATCACATAAAATCGAAAAAGTCTATAAAGCTGCTAGCTTCCTGCCATTTGCTGCAGTACGTTTGGACATCCCTTCCGAACTAGAAGCTTACAAAAATCCTTGAAATGAGTCGTGTAAAATTTCTTCTCAGTGCAATTGTGTTAATTGTAGTGGTCATGGACTACCCAGTGCAAGCCGCTCCACAATTTGGTACACCACCGTCCAGTTAGTAATAATTCCCGAAAAATACAACCAACCTCTTTCCCACCAGATATAATGGGCGGTTATGACTTCCTGGGAGTTTGCATCAACAACTGTGCCCAGTGCAAGAAGCTGTACGGTGCATACTTTGACGGGCAGCTTTGTGCCGATGCGTGCATAAAATTTCGTGGCAAAATAATTCCAGATTGTGACGACATTGGATCCATAACGCCGTTCCTGAACAAACTTGAAACTCAATGAAAAGGCTCTACCGCGGTGACCAGTGACCGTGTTACAGGATATGGCTAGAAAATATAGTTTGGACCTGCTGCGATTGTAATTGCATTCCGTGATATCAAATTTTATGGCAAAACATTCCGAAAGCCAAGCCAATCCTCAATCGCTAACTTTGTAACCAATAATTTTCTCCCACAACTGGGTAGAAAAAGATACTATCCAAGCTCAGCTGGCAATTCAAATGCAGTAACGACAGCGATTTGCAGTCATCATATAGTGCAGTGAGAAGATTGTACACCGCTTGTTGAATAGCAAAGCTAGTGGTTTACAACTCATCGACTAGTGCTATTTTGTAGTGAGATTTAATTTTCAAATCATTAAATTTGATTGGTTTTATTGGATGGAGCTAATTGGCATCTGCTGGGTAACATTGATGAGTATGTCTTTTATCTATGTTCCTATTTTTAACTTTATGTGCTCTAATTTGGTTGCGCCACCGTGTCAACTACCAAAATATTTTACCTTTGCTTCCAAGGGAAGGTTGGGCAATTGAAACGGCTTCAAATCATTACGCTCCACCAGATCCATCAGATAGACGGAGACAGAGAATGCTGTTATAATGGATTTAACAGGTCGGGCCCTCCCTCAGCTCAGTTGATAAAGGAGCAGCTACAAAGCAAGACCATGCATGCTGGAGGTGGCTGGGTTCGATTCCCGGTCCGGTCTAGGAATTTTTCGGGTAGGAAAATTTCTCGACTTGCCTCGGCATAGAGAGTATGATTGTACTTGCCACACAATTATACTTTTTTCTTTTCCACGATTTGTTTTCCGTCTAATTTAATTTATTTATTTAATTGATTCCATCAACAGGCTTCAATAAGCCCCAATGATGTTAAGTAATACAAAAAACAACATGATTGTCTGTGCTTAAAACTTAAACATTACACTGCTATTCACGGTTACCTGTGCCCGAAAATATCAAGGTAACCTGTGCCCGAAACTACGGCGAAGCGTCTGACGTGGTACGTGAAAATCGAACACTGAGGCAACTCTGTTGAAAACTCGCTGCAGTCCGTTTATTGCTCCATTCATTCCGTAGTTCGTGCGACGAAAGGGAAGTCTCAGCATAAGACTGTTTCTTAGTGCACGTGGTCGTACATTCAAATCGATTTTTTCGAGGATAGTAGGACAATCGATTCTCCCTTGCAATGTATCGGCAACAAGTAAAGCCCTTGCAGCGTCTCTTCGGGTCGAAAGAGTTTCCAAACCAATCAGCTGACATCGGCTTTCATAGCTAGGCAAACGGAAAGGATCTCTCCAAGGCAATCGCCGATGGGCGAAGCGTAAGAATCGGTGCTGGACTGATTCGACTCTTTCAACACCATTGTTGTAGCTTGGATTCCAAACTGCTGAGCAATATTCAAGGACTGATCGGACCAGTGAGGAGTACAATGACTTCAGGCAATAAATATCAGTAAAGTTTTTGGTTATTCTAAAGATAAAGCCTAGTGTTCTGGAAGCCTTATCAACGACATACGAAATATGCTGCTTATATGTGAGTTGCGAATCCAAAATGACTCCCAAATCCTTCACGTGGCTCACTCGTTCAATTGCTGAACCCAATAGGTTGTAGTTGAAGATGATTGGTTCTTTTATCCGAGAAAAGGAGATTACTGAGCATTTCACCGGGTTAACTTCCATTCGGTTCAAGGTGCACCAGTCAGCAAAAGCATGAAGCTGGCGTTGAAGAAAGTGACAGTCGGCAATGGAACGAATCCGAAGGTAGATTTTTAGATCGTCAGCATACGATAGTCGAGGTCCGTCAAGCACATAATTCACATCGTTGAAGTAGAGCAGGAAGATCAAAGGTCCAAGGTGGCTACCCTGGGGTATCCCCGATGTAGCAGGATAAGTATCAGATCGGTAATCGCCTATGGCAACCATCAGTTGGTGACCGGTTACATACGATCGAAACCATTGTAATAGGTTACCATTGATCCCAAGTCTGTCTAGTTTAGCAATAGCAATAGCATGGTTTAGCTTATCGAACGCAGCTGACAGATCGGTATAAATCACATCCGTTTGAGCTCGGTCAACCATGCTATCAGTTACATAAGATGTGAGGCATAGCAGATTGGTGGTGGTGGAACGACCTGACATGAAGCCATGCTGATCATCACTCAAAACATGCTTGCAGTGAGAAAGTAGCGGTTCCATTATGACTAGTTCAAAAAGCTTCGATACGGTGCTCAGTGAGGTAATTCCACGATAGTTGTTGACATCTCGTTTGTTTCCTTTTTTGTGAACAGGAAACATGTGAGCAAACTTCCAGCAAGAAGGAAAAATACCACAGCGAAGCGATAATTGGAACACGTGACAGAGCGGAGTCAATAGACTATCGATATTCTTCTTGAGAAAAACGGACGGGATTCCATCGGGTCCAGGGTTGCAAGAAGATTTCAGCTTGGAAGCAGCTCTTAAAATAGTCATATCGTTGATGTCGATGCCATTTAATGTATCGCCGTGCATTGGAACGTTGCTTGCTGCGAGGTTAACATATTCGTCAGATAGGCTCTCGTCAGTGAAAACATCGGCAAATTTGAGAGAGAAGAGTCGGCAAATCTCCTGATTTGTGGATCCCACTTCGCCATTGAACACCATGGACGATGGAAGACCGGATTCCTTTCGCTGCTCGTTTACATAGTTCCAAAAGGATTTCGGATGTGATCTCATCCTGCGCTGAATTCCCTGCTGATATCGCGAATAGCTTTGGCGACTGATCCGTTTGAATTGATGGTTTAGTCGAACATAATAGCATTTTAATTGGAACGTACGGTACTTGGTGTATTTGCGTAGTGCAGCTCTTTTAGTAGATTTCAGTCTACGGAGCTACGGAGCCATGGATGATGAGCTGTTTTCTGGTGACTTATCTTCGGGACATGTCTGTCGATAGTATACGCCAAAATGTGTGAAAACGTTCTTGCGGCTACCTCAATATCGTGATGATCGAGGATGTTTTCCCAGTCCAAGCTGGAGAGCAAGTCTGAGATGCTGCGGTAATCTGCTTTTCGAAAATCGTAGGAAACAGCAACGGGCGTTTCGTCGAAATCGTGAAGTAACTTGCTCTCCACAGTCACAATCAAAGGAAGGTGATGTGGAGTTGGTTTCACTAGTGGAGCGGGTGCACAGGAGATGAATGGAGCGACATCCTGAGAACTGACGAAACAAAGGTCCAAGCTGCGGTTGTTCTCGTTGACTACATGATTGATTTGCGATAACGTAGACGTACTGTAGCTATCAAGAAGCATAGTGGCTCCACAATGGAACACTGATCGTTCTGGATCCGGATATAGAAAACCGCTATGGGATGGTTGCCACGAAATACCAGGTAAATTGTAGTCTCCCAAGACAATAACCTCGTCAATAGCAGTTGCGCTTTCCAAGACAGCTTGAATTGAGCGACAATGGGCGTCGATGAAATCTATATCTCGAGCTCGGTTTGGAGGTATGTAGACCACACATACAAACAACGTGCGATCCGCTAGGTCCACAGCTGCCCAGACCTGCTCTACGCTGCTCCACAGATCATTTTCAATTGCTCTGGCTTTCAATTCAGAACCGACAGCCAAGAGGACACCACCTCCCGTTGATTTTCGGCTGTTGCGGGGGTTACGATCACAACGGAAAACCTCGTATTCAGATCCAAACACTTGATTGGAGATCGTGCGGGAGTCGAGCCAAGTCTCTGTGAGAGCAATAATATTATAGCATCGGTCAGATACGGATATACGATAGTCTTCAACGTTCGAGTTCATCCCGCCTACGTTCTGATAGTAAATAGTGACGTCCTGGTTAGTACTAGCAACACGTTGAGAATCTGTGTACACCTCGCCTGAGAGGGAACTTTTGGGCATCCTAATTTCACTTCTGATAACAGCATTAGGGCAGATTCGATGATCAAAGGCAGTAGAAGGGGGGCTGCATCGGAGAATCCAGTGGTGCAACCCGCACTTCGAGTGTTAGAGAGTACCGATACAGTGCTGAAATTCGGAATGGCTTCAGGCGGTGAATGTTCAGAGTTATCATTGTACTTGCCTGGCATAGCAGGCTGGAAGAACCCCTACTAACAACGGGACCAGGACGACTGTGAAGAACGCTGGCTGGTACTGGCAGGACCGTGTTAGAGGGACTAGGGGCTTCCAAAATACTATTTTCAGTGCGTCCTGGTTCCAAAGGTTGATGTATGAAAGGGTGTGCAATTTCCTGTGTACGGGAAACTTTTTTACGCGATGAAATACTAGGTCGAATCGAGTACTTGCCGTCGATGTTGTTTTCCGTGCTGAGCACCAATGCTACCAACGCCTGGGAGGCAGCTCCCACATCTGGACCCTACCAATCGACCCATCAACTCATGAGCCGGAGACCAACGACTTTACTACCCTTCCGAAGGAAGGCGTGATCAGAGATGTTATGCCTCAGAACATCCCGACGGCGCCGACTGGGATTGAACCCAGGCCTGCTGGGGTGAGACGCAATCACGCTTAGCACTACACCACCGGCGTCGCTGTACTTTTTTGATTTAATTCAACGCAACGTTTCCAAAGTTATATGATTCTCGCGCGGATACAAATGATTAAAATACGATCCGGTTGTTGATATAGCGAGAATACAATTTTCCTATGCAGTAGGTAGAATTAGCATTGGGCGACCTTGAGGCAAGAATCGATCTTAGTGAATCGATTCATTTAAAAAAAAATAATCGATTCACCGATTTAATCAATCATTTTGAATCGATCTTTTGAATCGATTCATTTTTCAAAATGGCCCAAAAATGTTTCAAATATAACGGATTATAGGAAAGTTGGTGCAAATTAACGCCTAGTTCAGTCTAAAGTTGATATTACGTTACATAAGCTATCTTGTTAAGACATTTCACTTATAATAGTCATTTAGTGTGATGATTGATATAATTTAGAAATAAATTGTGTAGTTCGTACGCAGTAAAAGTTGTAAGTGTAACATAC